CCTTTAAAAATCTGTAGAGTGCATGACACTAGACAGAACCCACTACTGCCAGAGGGAGTAAAGAAGAGATTCTAGAGGACATGGAATATAGGTTGTTTCCTAAAAGATGGTTAAAATTTGATGTGAGAAATATGGGGTAAGGATATTCCAAATGATTGGTAAAGCACGAACAATTCAGAAATGATCTTGGCATGTGAAAGCATCAACATGGATGGAGTAGAAGGTGCCTTTGGCTCACTCTAGGGAAAAAGTTAGAAATGCATGTTCAGGTGAATTAAAATGCTTTCCGAGCTCAAGCAGGTCACTCAAATGAGCGAAGCAGAGTGAGAGGGAGTGGAAGAAAGCTATGGCCCAGGCTCAACAAAAAGGAAGGCATCACTAAGCTCCAGCCAGTTCCACAGTGAAGTCTGCCCCAGTGTTGCCAGACCTTCCTCTTGGTACAATACGCCACTGCTCTGGATTTTTATGTGTGTGTGTGTGTGTGTGTGTGTGTGTGTGTGTGTGTGAGCATAAATTTAATTCTTATGACAAAACATGGAATTATGCTGGACAAAACTAGATAAACAAACATTGTTTCAGTTATACTGAATAATATCTAGTATGTGAACCATTCGGTTTCAACCTCTGCTGCACTGCAGAGAGCAAAGACTGCTAGAATTACCATAAAGCCTGCGTGGCTTATCCTACAGAATGGAGATGCAACACAAAGAAAGCAATATGCTTTCCCCAGGCTATAAGTTACAGAATATTTGTATGACAAAAATAATAAGTGAAAGAGAATTGCTTGTAATTATTGACTATTACAGTTTTAAAATGATTTTCAAGTGAAATTCATCTTAAAGTTCTCTTATCTGTTATTTAAACTGGTTGCAGAAGAATTTTACAACACATTTTAAGAAATATGTGTTGGCTATAAATTTTTCTCCAACAGTATCATTTGCCTTTAAAAATAAAGATAAAAATACCAACTATATGACTATTCTCTACCTGATAGGAAGAGAATTCTGGGTATATACTTTCCAGATGGGCCTAAATGAGCACTTAATGAATGACCTTTTATTTGCCACTACTACCAGCTGCCAATGGTGCATGCAACCAGGAAGTTTTGGTCAGGTTCCTTTATGTGCGTGTTCTGTTTTGGTCCACAAACCTGGCTGACATTGAAACCAGGTCAGGTTTGGAGGTTTGCAACAGATGCTTTTGTGCCTGTTAATTTCTGAAATTCATAGAGTCTATAAATCACTCACAAAAAATATTATGCGAGTCCACTGTTGGTTTAGGTTTTTCCCCAACCTAATGAGAAAAAACCTGAAATAGATGTTAAGAATATAACTTCTAGCCTTATCTGGTTTGGCTCAGTGGATAGAGCGTTGGCCTGTAGACTGAAGGTCCCAGGTTCAATTCCAATCAAGGGCACATGCCTGAGTTGCAGGCTTGATCCCCAGTAGGGTATGTGCAGGAGGCAGACAATCAATGATCCTTTCTCATCATTGATATATCTATCTCTCTTTTCCTCTCCTCTCCTCTCTAAAGTCAATAAAGATGCATTTAAAAAAAAAGTACAGCTTCTGGGGTAGGGGAAAAAATGCAGCAACTAATCCTTCACCCTGCAATCAAGGTTTATTATTTAACAAAAAAGCCAATATATTCTCTCTCTCCTATCAGGATCTCCTAACAGGTGGAAGAGCTTAGTATCAGCAAAGAATTAGGCATAACAGAGAATTTCACATGGAGGTTACAATATTATGCTTCTGTCTGAATGAAACGCAGCATTCCAGATGTTGCCTACATTTCACTGAAAGCCAACTGCTATGACTTATGAACAATAAAAATTCCCAAAATGTAACAGAGCAACTCTGCTTCCAAATGCTGAAAAAACTTAGAAGATTATCACATTTTGAAATGCTAATGAACTACAAAGTCTGATTGAAATCTAAGGTGCAATGTTCCAAAAATATTCCTGGTGGTTTAGGTAAGTAAGGCTCCATTTTCACCATTGATGACTACTTCCTGACAAATTTTGCAAAGATAGGGAGGTCTCAGTAGTAAAACGAGTTCACAACAGCTCCTTATTAAGTTATTTTCAGGAAGCAGCGGTAAGACAAAACATTAAGACCTGAAAATTGGATAAGAGAAAGAAAAAGAAAAATAGTCCACACACTTAGACCATTCAGTTGCTAAAATGTGAACTGTTAAGCTTTCAAAACATAAAACATGACATTTTAATTACTTAATTTAATGCATATTTATAAATAATAAGCCCAGTGTTAGCAGATGTGAACAAAGATGAACACCTTCTGTTAATTGTGGAGAATAGAATAGTTGGAAGCATGTTTCATAGACAATATCTCTATGGGGGAGAGAAACGCTCACATATTGAGGCTTTGTTTAAGATAAAACTGATTTAATTAGCATTTTCATCTACTTTGTTGCTCAGAATTCCCTTTAGTGAGTGTGCTTTTGATAAATTTCAAGGAAAGGTGTTTGAAGAAAAGTTGGATTTAGACATATAAAACAAAAATAGAAGTTTTCTTTATATATAAGCAAAAAATTATCTGAAAACTAAAATGACAAAAATTGGAAAGTCATTAAACTACATTTCTATATTAATGATGAGGTGTGACTTATACAGATTAACCCAGGCTTTTTCTATATTTATGATATTTCTGAAACAGGACAAAATTTACCAGGGGGATTTTAATTAAAGTTACATGCAAGTAAACAATACTTCTCTCTCTTCTGATTGAGTGATGATGTGGCCATATTGGTTAGTTATTTTGTAAGGTCATTATAAATCATAGCATTGTTGACAAGCTTGTAATTAAATGTATAAATACCTTTCTGATTTCAGATCATAAGAATTGATTCTGAAGAGAGTGTTCTTACAACACACTTCACATTCTGGACACTTTAGGATTTTGTTTCCACTTCTTTGCATGTGGCAGATACAGACTCAATCCTTCGGAGAATACAACTGTACACTTGGTACCTCCTACAGACACTGTGACTATAGGAGTGTGTTGACAAAATGTTACTAATAAAATTACAAACAGACAGAGGCAAGATATAGGTCAAATCCTGGTAGACCTTACTGAGCCAACTCCCTGCAAGAAACTTGCACTTGGCTGAAAAAAAGAATCCCTGATATAACCATTTTTTTTTAACTTATAATTTCATTCTCAATAGGGGAAAAATCAGGTAATTCTATACTTAATTTTGACCCACAAGAAGGAATTAGTTAAATTTAGTTTACAAAAGTGATGCTTAACTTCCATTACACAATCATCTCATTGCTAAAGCAACTACCATGTGATTATTTGCAACCCCAGTGCCTTGTGTGGAATTGATATAGATATATAACTTGAAGTGTTTCAGATGCACACCCTTCATCTTTCCTTAGCATATCTTTAGTGTTTTATTATTTTATAAATATTTTTAAAAGATAATCAGAAAATTATGTGCCAAGAGTCATGAATAATTTTTTTACATCAACATGCAAGGAAAAGACTAACACTAGCCAGTTCTCTACAAACCTTGCTAAGCTCTCCTTGTGGTATACCTCTTCAGAACTAGTCCCAAAAAAGGTTATTCAACTCTTGATATGTTTCTCCTAATTCATTCATTTCAAGGTACATCTTTCTCCCAGCTCCCAGCCCCTAGAATATTACCCATCTTCATCCCTCCCATCACTTTTACTACACAATGTACATAGTTTTCAAATGTAATATGCCCTTTGCATGTCATAAAGAACAATTCTCTAAGTAGGAATGATGATCCATATATATAAAAGCCTAAGCTACCAAACTACCGAATGACCAGTTGACTGGTCACTATGACATGCACTGACCAACAGGGATAGATGCTTAATGCAGTGGTCAGTGTGCTCCCACAGCCAACCTCCCGTAGCACATCTCCCTGGCTGGCCAACCTCTTGTGGCTCCTCCCTGCAGCCAACCTCCCTCATCACCAATGGCCCTGTTTGCCTGCCAGAGACCCCACCCATGCAAGAATTCGTGCACCAGGCCTCTAGTTTAAGTATGAGATCTCAAATGTTATAGGAATCATGGGTGTAACATTACCCTAAAGCAGTGGTCAGCAAACTCATTAGTCAACAGAGCCAAATATCAACAGTATAATGATTGAAATTTCTTTTGAGAGCCAAATTTTTTAAACTTAAACTTCTTCTAATGCCACTTCTTCAAAACAGACTTGCCCAGGCCATGGTATTTTGTGGAAGAACCACACTCAAGGGCCAGAGGACCATGTGGCTCGAGAGCCATAGTTTGCAGATCACAGCCATAGAGTAAAGAGGTAGTTAATAAGAAAAATTCAACATGTGGCCTTTACCAATGACAAGGAGTTTTCACAGGAGAAATTTCTGCCATGATGACTTACAAATATAGTTAATTGCCTTCATTCCAATTATATCCATTGTTTCTAAACTTATATTACTTCAAATGCTTCTGTAAGCTTCTTAGAGAAATGTTAACAGTACTGCTAAAGCTACGAATGCCATTTTGCTGAGTGATTCAAAAAAAGGAGTGCTACAACCCAAACAAAATCCTCATTCCATTTTTCTTAACTAATCAAAGAAGATTATGTGAAAGAAAAAAGTGAAGATAGAGAGCATTTCTCTGGAAACCTAGGATAAGCTTGCTCTGTTTGAGTAATGTAAACAAAAGCCCGGGGGTACTGATGAGGCAGTCAAAAGAGGGTTTGAAAATGATTATAAACATATCACATCTGGCCTAAATATATCTCCCAACAGCTCTGGCATTAATAAACATGCATAAGTGGTTACGGCCTGTTCTTTTCCCCAGTAACCATACTCACTTCTCAGAAATAATTTTCAAACCACAGGATGCAAGCGCTATGAGATAGTAGAGCAATCTATTTCAAAGCAACCAACACAGGCTGAGGCTTCTATTGTATGAATAAAGGTAACTGCGTGGATTCAAATATCAGGACCAGCACAGCTAATCTTGATGACTGGGACTTACCAGTATTTGTCAGGAAGTTAACGTTTCTCATCACACCTTCGGTATAAGCGCCTGGCTCATAACTGTCCATTTCCCCAGAGACAATGTGAGCCACTCTTGCTGCCCGCCCTCTGATAGCACCGGCAGCTCGGTCTAAATTGTCAGCATCCTGGTCTCTCAGGGCTATGATACATTTGTTGACATCTTCTAAGATGTGGCTCTCTGTAAGTAAATAGATCAAAATGCTTTTGTCAGTATTTTTTTAATCACACAAATGTAGCATATTATAATTTAACTTCTGACTCAGATGTGACGCACATGGAATGGAGGACAGCGACAATCAGGAAGAAAATATATAGACATAATTTTGCTCCTAGCTCTTTAACAGCAAAATTTGTAAAATACAGAATTTTACATTTTTATCAGCAATTTTTATAGATTATATATTATTTTAAGTTCTAGTTCTAGTAGATTCGGTTTGACATTTGAGTGCTTTGTGGGTGAAAATTAAGGAGTTTCTAGATTAAAAAGAAATAAAATGTATAATAATAGAATACTTAGTTCTGATTAAAAGCAACACTATAGAGGTTATAAAACTCTAAACTTTTCAGTTGTCCTAAATATATAGCAAAATAAAACTAGGGAATTCTATTCAACTTATCTTTATTGATGTACAATGAAATTTAACAAAACTACAGAAATCTTAAAATTAATAAATAACAAACATATGAAATATATAATTTTTAAATTGTAAAGTAGCAAGCTCACTAAATCTGTGAAAACACTTAGGCAAAAAGGGGACTTTGAAAAGACTGGCTTGAGGCAAGAGAATCCCTGAGAAATTGTCCACTCTGAAGAGGATCTCCTTGACCTCCACTGCTTCTTCCCTCTTTGCTTGATGAGGGCGTGAAGAGAGCAGACTTCTTAGGATAACACTGTTTTCATGGTATATTAAGTGATTAATACTCCTAATAAAACTAATGAGAGAAACTGAGCAAATATGGGGACTTATCATTAAACCTGGGCAGTTTGTAAGAAATTAAAAGAATATTAAAAGAATTAGTGTTTGGCTCTCAGCATATTCAAATGAATCCCCACTCTAAATCCTTAAGGACTCTATGACTTAAAAACATACTAGAAAACAACCACAACAAAAAGGCCTTTCTAATTTCAGACCATATTGTTAACTTCCACCCTTCCCCCAGGGGACAGACATTCACAAAGCTATTTCTTTGCGGTGTCATACCTTTCTTGTAATGGGTAGAAGCATAAAATCCCAAAGACCAAATAATATGGTCCCTGGTGACTTTCTGAGACCTGATGACTATCATTCCTCTCTAGGCCTCTTATGCTTCAGTCATATTTATTTTATGATTTCCCAAGTCCACCATGTTCTCAAATGCCTCTGTTCCTGGGGGCATATTAGAGTCTTGACCTAGATAGACTGTTCTTTTTCTTTCCTGGACCCAATTTCTGTGTGTGTGTGTGTGGGGGGGGGGTGTTTCCAAACTCCAACAAACAATTTTCTGGATACTACTTAGGTGTCCTACAATTCAACTCAGTACTGACACACTCTACCAGAGATAGCATCAGCTTCCACAAGACTTCTCCTCCATCCTTTACCTCAGACCCCAGTACCAAGCCCAGTTTGTTACCTTACTTCTGACTGTCTATAAATCAGAGATTCCCATCACTCCCTCCTTTGGGTTTTACTAACTTGTTAAAACATCTCACAGAGAAACATTTTACTTATTAGATTTAACTTTTATAACTCAGGAACAGCCAGATGGGAGATGCTTAGACCAAAGTATAAGGGGAGAGTATGGAGTTTCCACACCCTCTCCAGGCACACCACTTTCCCCACATCTCCATGTGTCCCCCAACCAGCAGCTCTCTGAATACAGTCTTTTTACCTCCCTATGGAGGCTTCACTACATAGAGTTAATTCAACCTCCAGCCCCCTCCTCTCCACCTCTCTATGAATGGTTCCTCAGGCAACAGGCCCCCATTCTAGGTCCACTATCATCTCATTAACATAAAAAAAGAAACCTCAAGGCTTTCAGCACTTAGCAAAGTCCAAGGATTTTACTAGCTCTGTATCCAAAATGGGATGAATACCAAATATATGTATTTTCTATTATATATCAGCATAATATCACAACTGTGAATCCCTTTTGGTCTAATTCATCAACTTCAACTATCCTTTCAAAATACTAGTAAAATGTTCCTTCCTCAGAAAATGCATGCTGACTTACAACAAGACATTTTTTGTTCCATGTTGTTTGGGATTCCCATGAAACAATCTATATGTTTCCATTAGATCTTTTTTCCATATTTTAATGATATATTCATGAAAATTCTCTAGTACACTATGGAATATATGGGAGAACAGTAATTTTATCTTGTTACTTGGAGTAGCCTATGTAGTCTCTAATACATTACATGGCACCTGTTAAACTAACAAGAATGTTTGTTGAGTGAATGAATTCCTCTAATAAGACACATCTGAGAACAGTAAATTATTTTTTCTACATCATCAATCATGGGTTATGTACATAAGTAGACACATCTCTGTGACCTTACATAGTCAACTTGGCCCATAGCAAGGACAGCCAGGTCATTTGATTAAAGATTGAACACTGAAAATCATTGTTATAATTTCACTCTAATTTAACCTAATCAACAGCATTCAGTTATGAATGTGTCATTAAGGCATATAATAAACCCAGGCAGGATGCCTTCTCAACAGAAAGTGCCTGGGTATCATTACCATCATATTTCCCCTGGAACTGAAGTACAAGTTTAAATGTGGGAGGCATAACAATCATGAGTTTTTTAAAAGTCCACAGATGTGCACTTTTATGACACATTAAGAAGCTGTTATTTCCCAAGTATGTTGGTAAGTTTTTTTTTTAATAAGTACAACATTGGTTAACCATAAATTAAGGTGCTTAATTTTAGGTAGCTGAGTTAATTTTGCTTGGTCCTATAAAAGTGAAAAGATACTTAGGGGGAAAAAACACAATGCTCATTCTTTAAAGATTAATTATCTTATAAACTATGTGATTTCTATTTAATTAAAGGTGAAATTATATCTGTCAAAAACTATTCTTTTTTCTGGTGAATTTTACACAGAAAAAGATATACAAAGAATACTCAATAATCATAAATTGATTATTTACCTCTTTTATAGAAAAAAGAATATACATGCTCAGCAATTTATTCTATTATTTGAACCAGAGAATGAAAACATAGCAAGGGTTGTTTTTGTTCTTTTTATATTGGTCTTAAAGAAGTGTGTGTGGTTATTGCTTAAGACTGAGCAACCAATAATTGATCATGATGATTGGTCTCCAAATTAACTGATAGCCTACTACATAAAAATCTCAGCAAGTGCTATTCTGAGAATAAGAGTATGCATGTTGCTAATGTAAAACTAATATTCATCACCCCTTTTTGACATCATTAAAATTTTCCCTCTTCTGAACCTAAGTAATACTCTGTTAGAAAATGTAACTGATATCAAAGATAAAGCAAAATGTGTCTGCAAAGGGTTTACAAGCTAGTAAACCGAAATAATTATTTCTTTCATTGTCTTTTAGTCTTCCCAAAATACAACAATCAAAATTATCATTATTTGGTCATTTTAGTGAAGTTTTATTCACTTTTATCCCAAAAGTTTGCCCAGTTTCCCTGCACTATAAGCTTTTTATTCGTCATTGGACTTTAATCAGCTCAAACTCTCCTGATCCATTTATGACAATGATCCAAAAAAATAATAAAGTTCAAGATTTCTATTATCAAACTAGTTTTTTTCCACCCTGTATGCATAGGAACTCTAAAGTACTTATGCAGATACAAACCTATAGAAATAAAAACCACAAAAAGACAGTAACTGAAGCCTTCATATTTCTTTCAGGATGTCTTATATAAGCTCTAGTAACAGGTCCTTCTGTGAAGTAGTTAAGACATTTTATCAAACGCTCAGAAAGAGACCAAAGGTACGACTGCTTATCTTTTGCACATGCTGCTGGGAGGACACTGTGAATCAGCCGTACATGGCAGATACCTAATTCCCCAGGAGAATGGGCCTTTGTTCCACTTGCTATTTACCGCTGGTTAGAATATTTTACAATTCTGTAAGAGTAGATGCTCATTTTGTTCTTAAAACTGATAGCCTGTGAGTCTTGTCACATAGAAATGCAAATGAATTATTATATGGTAGAGATGGGATGACTGTTATAGAAAAGATTATTCCAAAGGTTACATTTTTCATTGTTCTGTAGGACATCTATCAGTTTTGTTTCTAAATTAGAAATTTTATTTAACCATTCTTTCTTTATCCAATTCTTCTTAACAAGCATTATTATCTTGGTGGTTATTAACAATAAATTTTGACACATGCTCACCTTAAATTTCCTAAAGTCTTGCTTTCACCTTGGAAAATTATTCTTTGACTGTGTACTTTGACTTAGAAGCTTCTAATATTCCAAGTGTTTTATTTCTACTTATGTGAGAAAGTGTAAAGCAAAAATTGCACGTGGAATCATAGACCTAAATGTAAAAGGCAAAACTATAAAGCTCCTTGGAAAATATTTTAGATAACTTAAATTTGAAAGTGATTTTCTAAATACAACTCTGAAAGCATAAGTAATGGGGGAAAAAAGAAAAGAAAACTAGGGACTTCATAAAAAACAAAAACCTAACAAATAAATAAATAAACAGAAAAACAAATAAAGAAAGACTTTTGATCAAGAGAATGAAAAGACAAGCAACAGACCTGGAAAAAAATATTTCTGAAACACACCTAAAGGGCTGGTATCCAAAATACACATACACAAAAAAATCTTAAAACTCAATAGTAAGAAAACAATAAACTCAGTTAATATAAGCAAGAGATCTGAGCAGAAACATCAATATAGAAGATATACAGATATGTGATGTTTAAGTTTAAAAAGGTATCTTGTAGGCTTAAACATTTTCTAAAGTTTATAAAGTTGTGCAAAAGATCTATATAATTATACCAGTGTCCTGGTGGATGAATTTGTGCACATTGAAAGGAAATTAATTAGAAGAAATATTTTAATATTGCTATTCACCCTTTCTCTATAAAGTGTCAACCAAATTCACTATAGACAATGACAGATTTGAACACACATGTGTAATTGACGCCAGCAAGAGTTTTACATGTATTGCGTTTGCATGAGTCAACTTATGTTAGT